GCACTTATGTGGTGTCTTTCTATATACTCAGTGTCCTTCTTTTCTTGGAAAACTGTTCACTCATAGAATTTCCCTTCAGCACTGCGCCGCCTCTGAGTCTGGATATGATATTCTCTTTACTCCTAGTTGTAGAATTTCCACTCAGCCAGCCCTCCTGTGGCTCTGGACGTTGTCCTTTCCCTGGATAGAGCTTAATTTGACTTAGTTGTTCCAGGCAGCAATCTCTGGTGTAAAAAATAAATGCCTTTACCAGCTCTCCCCACTTTGGCTTTTTAATGGATATTTTTATTAAGTTTTTAGAGAGAGAGGAAGGGGAAGAGAGAGAGAGACATGGATTGGTTGCAACCTGGGCATAGGCCCTGACTGAGAATTGAACTGGCGACCTTTTGGTGCACAGGATGATGCTCGACCAACTGAGCCACACTGGCCAGGGCACTTTGGTGTTATTTTTAAAACTTTGTTTATTTGCTTACTTATTTGTTTGGCTAGGCACTTATGTGGTGTCTTTCTATATACTCAGTGTCCTTCTTTTCTTGGAAAACTGTTCACTCATCAAGAGTCACTTAATTTGGTCCATTAGCACTTCCTACTTACGTTTATTACAGAACTCATCACACTTGGCTGGTTCTGGTCCTATTTACTCTAGTGCTCTCAGTGACCAGAGGTAGATTTTTGTTCACGACTCTATGTACTCGTTGGATTAAACGATTCTGTGTGGCAGATTCTATCACACAAGGCAGTGCTTTTCAACTGCTGTGCTGCAAGAATTTTTTAAAACATGCAATACCGGACTATTTAGCTAGGGCACTGACCTCTTTTACCTTAAAGTGTCAAATAAAACAACGACAACAGCCAACACAATAATAGCCCTCTGGTGTGAGTGATTAAAAATTATACATTTTGGGGGGGTCAGATTGGCAAAAATATAACATATTTGTTGGTGTGCTGCAGAATTTTAGTAATTAGTTTATGTGGGCCGTGAGATGGAAAAGGTTGAAAAGCACTGACCCAAGAGAATGAAAGCGGTCTGGGGAAATTGGGACTGAGCTAGTGGGGAGAGCAGGGTGGCAGCACATCTCTGATTGCCGATGGCAAGAAAGACTGGAGAAATGTGACCTCCTCCCAGCTGTGCCAGGGCTGCCTCTGAACACTACAGAGGCAACACGTGTGAAAGCCCCTTGTAAACTCTGTGCAGATGTGACAGTAGGACCGGCCCCAGCAGTAGCAGTGCTTGTTGTTTCTTTTCCCGGAGCCAGCTGAGTCATTTTTCCAAACCACAATTCTTCCTGGAGCAACATCAATTGACTTGGCCTTTGGCTGATATTGAGTTGGGACTCTGGGAATACTACAAACTATTTTCCAAAATTTGCATAAAACTGCAAATTTTAGGCTAAATGGGAGGGGGAAAGATGCTTTAAAAATTAATTGGACCAAAGGGAATGGTCTCTAATCAAATTGCCAACTCCCCCTCCCAACTGGCCCCAAAACACTCATCATATTTGATATGAAAGTAATCTGATGACAAATAGGTGCATTAAAAAGAACCAATTCTTCCAATATAGTTGAGGATGCTGCTAAGTGGATTTTAAAAGCGACTGGAGTCAAACGGAACTCGAAGAGGAGACAGAAAAGAATTTTTAAGTGGTGCATAAATAGAACGGATAATTTTGGTGGTTTGGAGAAAATGGGTAGGAAACTGGGACTGGAGGGTCTAATGTTAGCACAGTAAGCGCCAGTTATCAGAGGTCTCTATTTTCTTGAACAGAAGTGTGCTCCTGTATCTGGGGTGCGGGGTGGTGGTGGGGAGAGGGAGCCAGCGGGAGGGAAGACGGGTCATAGGTGAACAATCTCTTGGATGCGCTGGAGGATTGGCCTTGGAAATTCCACGGGAGGAGAGAAGAAAGCCTCAAGGAGATCTTGGCGGGTGGGAGGAGGTTGGAGCAGAGATAGCAAGTCTGGGCAATAGAAAAAGGGAGGCAAAGGGGAAGGGAAAGCCAAGAAAACATTTTTCAATGCTTTGTCTGAGGCACAGGCAGCCCTGAGCACAGCTGTGAGGAGGTCACCTCTCTCCAGTCTTTCTTGCTATCGGCAATCAGAGATTTGCTGCCAACCAGCTCTTCCCTGCTTGCTCAGTCCCAATTTCCCCCGATCACTTTCGTTCCCTTAGGTATTTGCTCTTTGAAAGGTAAAAATATAGCAAGTCTGACAGAGGAATGCACTGAGGGATGGGGGTGAGGATTGCATATTTAAAAGAATTCTTGTAAACATTCCTTTCTTTCAAGCATGTATTTTAAAAGGAGGTCTCTGTAAAGCCTGCCTTCATTCAAGGGAGCATCTGAAATAGGGTATTTCTGATATTGCTAATAGACCTATAGTGGTAGCAAACACATTTCCAAGGCTCTCAAATTATAATTAAGTCTAGAAAGAACTGATTTTTTTTAAAAGAACAGTTTATTGATTTTTAGAGAGAGAGAGAGGAAGGGAGCAGGAGAGAGAAACATCTGTGTGAGAGGGTAACATGGATGGGCTGTCTCCTGCATGCCCCTTACAGGGGATTCAGCCTGCACCCCAGGCATGTGCCCTTGACCCCGGAATTGAACCAGCACCTTTTGGTGCATGGGATGACGCCCAACCGACTGAGCCACACCAGCCAGGGCAGAGCTGAATTTTATACTTTATCTGTTACAGGCCTGGAATTGTGCTAAGTGCTTGATTATTATTATTATTATTATTTTACATAGATATGCTCTTCATTCCATTTTACAGATATGGAGCTGGAGGTCAAGTTCAGAGAGGCTGGTACCTGCCAGTGGCAGATGGCAATGATCAAAGCTGACTGCAGCAATATCTTCCATATGACATGTGCTTATAGAATAGGGGGCAGTGAACTTTTCTATCAAAAGCCATATATATTTTAGGCTTTGCGAACCAGGCCATCTGTGTCCCAAACACTTAGCTCTGCCATTGTGGCAGAGATGTATGTGAATGAACAGGGTGGCTGTCTTGAAGAGGTGAGCCAGATTGCACAGGAGAGCGGTTTGCTAAGCCCACTCTCCAACATCGCTACTTCCTGTCGGGAGGTGGAGTCTAATTCCCCTCTCCTCAAACTCGGGGAAATGTGATTTGCCTGGGACTGAGAGAATGTGAAGGAAGTGACACTGCATGACCTCTGAGGCTAAAGGGGTGATGCAATGTCTACCTTACTCTCGGCTTGGAGCCCTGAGCGACCACCACAGCAGTACAGTTGTCCTGAGGCCCCATGCTGTAAGCAGGTCATGCTAGCCATGTGCAAAGACGGAGAAGTGCTGAGGCTGTAAGAAGAGGGGGTTGCTCAGCCAGCCCCCAGTTTTAGCGCTTCCCCTGACTGCAAGCCCTGGAGAGATGCTGAGCCACAATCAGCCAGTGGACGCTCCTCCAAACTCCTGCCCCATAGAAACGGAGGAATAATATGATGATTCTGTTGTTTTAAGACACACAGAACATTGCTCCCAAACTGGTGTGTGGCAGATACGGGATGCAAACTGAGGCTGGCCTGACCTCAACCATGTATTCTTTCTATTACATGATTGCTTCCAGCAGAGGTTGTATTTTTTTTTAAACTGCTAAAATATACGTAACAAAATTTACTGTGTTAACTATTAGAAAATGTACAGCTCAATAAGTACAGTTACATTGCTGTGCAGCCAAGTCTCCAGAATTCTTTTGAGGACTCCAGCCTCTAGCACCACCATTCTCCTTTCTGTCTCTATGAATTTGATGACTCTAGGTCCTTGTGCACGTGTCCTTGTGACTGGCTCATTGCACTTAGTGTGAGTGTGTGTGTGTTTCTGTGTTTATGTATTTTAAGCCCGTGTTGGTTAGCGAGCCTGACCAGTGCGTAGCAAAGGTTTGTCAAGGGAAAACATCAGAGCTTCCAGGCCCTATAAGTCACAGACGCAGCACGTCCCAGGAAGGACCTTGCCCTCACTCTCACAATGACAACTCACAGTGTCCTGCCTCCACAGGGCTTTGAAGAAAAAGGAACCCCTGCATCAAGAATAAGATAAGGCTGTTGGATTTGTTTCAGCTTGCGCGCTGTTTCACTTCCCTCTCAGAGCCATGCCCTGAGAATGAAATCATTTTCTCTCACGCGGCCCTTGCAAAGAGCATCCAACACAAACACTCGCTGTCTGCTTCCTTATTTCCTCTCTGCCGAGGGTGTGCACTGAGTTGGTGGAATTTCTGTGGCTGGCTGTGAATTATATATCGAGCCAAAAATCCTGCAGGCACTCAGCTCAAATGCTACTACTTGCTTACGCAGATGAAGATGGAACCTTTGGGAGTTTCCTTGACCTTCTCTGCCTTCCCTTGTGCCTAACCTAAGACCAAAAGGCCGAGGTCACACTTATTTTTTAAATATATTTTTATTGAATTCAGAGAGGAATGGAGTGGGATAGAGAAATAGAAACATCAATGATGTGTGATCTCTGAGTCCGTGCCCTGTTTATAACACGGCGTGCTAACTTCGCTTCTGTGAGAGAGCTGTGGAGAGGTTAAGTGAAATAATATATGTCAAGGTCCTAGCACAGGACCCAGAACAAAGTAAATGCTTAGAGGTATCATTACTACCTAGAGGCCCTGTGCACGAAATTCGTACAAGAGTAGGCCCTCGCAGCCGCCCGGGCTTCATCCGGAAAGTCGTCCGGAAGGTTGTCCAGATAGTCGTTCTGCTGTTTGGCTGTCTGGTCTAATTACCATATTACACTTTTATTATTATAGATTATTATTATAGATTGTCATTAATTGTAGTTAGCATTATTAAATTGCAATTAAAAGCTATTATTTGCACCATCTTTGATATTCACCGTCTCCTATTTCCAGGCTTCACATAAATAAGGTATCCAATAACACATTCAATCTATTTTAAGTTCTGCTAATAACATCTCTTGTTGAAGTTCTTCAATGCTCTGCGAACAGTGGAAGTCCCCTATAACAGGGGGGCCTTTCTTTTTGCTGCCCAGCTGATGGAACTTTTCCCAGCAGCCGGAGGGCATGGTCCGGCCTCAGCGAGGATGCTCCCATTCCCCCTGGCTGCCTGCATTCCCTGACCCATCTGGTCAGACCTGGTATTTTTCCTCCCTCCTCCTGGGCAGCTTCCATGTCACCCAGACAGCTGCTGCCACATCCCGTTGCTTCAGAAGTGGAAGGAAGGCGCATTTCGGACCTTTCCGGGTGAATGACAGCATTTGAGATGAGATGAATGAAATGCCACTGCTGAGGGAAAACCAGACTTCCCCCAGTCACCTCTGCTCCACCTTCCTCGTGACACACAGAACCAGCCTGACCGATGTCAGTCCCTGCCTTCTGGTCTGGCAGCCTCTTTGGGAGACAGTGGGCGCTGGTGACGTGGGTGTGAACTGTCCCTTCGTGAGGGTGGCTTTGAGGCACCCTGCCACTGAGTGAGCCTGCATGCAGCTGGCCACTTTGTCCTTGGCTGTGCCCCCGAGCCTTCCAGTGCTCTGTGTACATCACGGGGCATCTGCTCCAGGGCCAGAGGAGGTATTATTCCAGGTCACCCATGGGTGCTGCAGGGATTTTCCTCAGCCACCACATGATGACTGAGTGAGAGCATTCCAGGAAACCAGAAGGGCTGCTCGAGCCTCTGGAATGTCAAAGGAAACTGCTTGGCAAGGCTGCCGGCCCTTTTCTGCTGTGTCATTTTGTCTGAGCCGCGCTCCCCTATGTGGCTGCATGCTCACTTCCCGCTGAATCCCACCAACTTTAACCTTTTTTTTTTTTTAAAATATATTTTATTGATTTTTTACAGAGAGGAAGGGAGAGAGAGATAGAGAGTTAGAAACATCGATGAGCGAGAAACATTGATCAGCTGCCTCCTGCACATCTCCCACTGGGGATGTGGCCGCAACACAGGTACATGCCCTTGACCGGAATCGAACCTGGGACCTTTCAGTCCGCAGGCCCATGCTCTATCCACTGAGCCAAACCGGTTTCAGCCCACCAACTTTAACCTTTACCTTCCTTACAAGGGAGAGTCTATTTTCTCCCTTCCACAGAAACTTTAATTTTTTAAGATTCAAGATGTCCCCTAAGGTCATGATAAAGACTATTTACAAGAACAGGGGAAACTCACAGATGAAGAATACCCACTCCCTTTTAATTCAAATGTATTCTGTTTAACTAGCAGGAGGGACTGGTTGTATTACATCTGATTGAGGCCATATGCACCCAAGGGTACTGGTTATGGACTCAATGTTTGTGTCCCCACAAAATGCGTATATTGAAGCCCCAACTCCCAATGTGATGTTGTTTGAAGATGGGGCCTTTGGGAGGTGAGTAGGTTCAGATGAGGTCATGAGGGTGGGGTCCCCATGATGGGATTAGTGCCCTTAGAAGAAGAGATACCAGATCTCTCTGATTCTGTCTCTTTGTCTGTTTCTCCCCATGTAGAAAGGCCACGTGAGAACATAATAGGAAGGCAGCCATCTGCAACTGAAGACAAAGACAAAAGCTCTCACCACACATCTAACCTGCTGGCACTTAGATCTTGGACTTCCCAGCCTCCAGAATTGTGAGAAATAAATGTCTGTTTTTTAAGCTACCCAGTTTCTGCTATTTTGTTATAGCAGCACAAGCAGACTCGGCAATACCTCAGGAGCAAAAGAAACAACTCCAGCCCTAACTGGTTTGGCTCAGTGGATAGAGCGTCGGGCTGAGGACTGAAGGGTCCCAGGTTCGATTCCCGTCAAGGGCATGTATCTTGGTTGCGGGCACATTCCCAGTAGGGGGTGTGCAGGAAGCAGCTGATCAATGTTTCTCTCTCATCAATGTTTCTAACTCTCTATCCCTCTCCCTTCCTCTCTGTAAAAAATCAATAAAATATATTAAAAGAAAAAAAAGAAACTAAACTCCAAGAAATAGAGCACAAAGACCCAGGCAGCTGTCACTGGGTACTCTTCCTCCTTGCCCTAAAAGACAAGGTAGTGATTTCCCACGGATGCTTCTAGACGCAAAGTCTGGCCACTACACATGGATATGCAAAACGGAAGATCCAAGGCTGAGCCCTGGAATCTGCCAGAGCTGCCTCGCAGAGCCTGGCCCTCCCCGTCAGCGCGTTTCATGGCAGCGATTTCTACCTCCTGTTTCCTGAAGGACATGGCTTTTCATTCCCCTCACTCACAGCAATGCCACATGTAACCCCACAGCAATCCTGCGAGGGCATCAAATAGGTGTTACTATGAGTGTGTCCTCGGCACTGTAGGGGTCACACCTTGGCTTATGAGCTTTTCAAAAGGATAAGGTATCTAAGTCTTGGAAAAGAGACACTGTCATTAAACCATGAATAAATCTGCAAAATCAAAACTAATAAAAATTTAATTAAATGACTAATATTATGTCAGTATCACTTATTGTTAAACTATTAACAAAGTTCCATTACATTTTTATCTTATTTTATTTTTAAATATACCTTTATTGATTTCAGAGAGGAAGGGAGAGGGAGAGAGAGAGAAACATCAATGATGAGAGAGAATCATTGATAGGCTGCCTCCTGCACGTCCCCTCCTGGGGATCAAGCCCACAACCCAGGCATGGGCCCTTGACCAGAATGGAACCTGGGACCTGTTAGTCTGCAGTCTGACGCTCTAGCCACTGAGCCAAGCTGGCTAGGGCTCCATTACATTTTTAAAAAATGTTTTTATTGGTTTTTAGAGAGAGAGAGGTAGTGAGAGGGCTAGAGAGATAAAAATAGTGACAACAGAGAAACATCATGGATTGGTTGCCTCCTGCACGCCCCCTACTGGGTATCAAGTCTGCAACCTGGTCATGTGCCCTGACTGGGAATAGAACTTGCGACCTCTTGGTTCATGGACTGATGCTCAACCACTGAGCCACACCTGACAGGCTGAAAATACTTTGTGGCTTAAAATTTTTTTTATTTTTTATTTTGTGAGGGTTTCCTATATAGGTTTGATTACCAAGGAATCACAGCTAATCAAACTGAGTAAATTTTGCGTACATAAATTTAACTTTAGACAAAAAAATGATAAAAATCTTTCAAAATATTTACAGAAAACACATTTAATGGGGATGTGGATCACTGTACTATGTTGGAAATAATTTAGGGTGGATTTTCTAAAGGAAGCAGCTCCTGCGTTGAGCGTCTGACCCCTGGTGGTCATTGTGCGTCATAGCTACTCATAGAATGGTTGAAGGGTCGGATGGTTGCTTAGGCTTTTATATATATATAGATTTTTTTTTTTGCTTTCAGACTATCATTTTAGGTTGAAAATGTAAAGGCCATTTTCTGAATTTGGGACTCAAGTACAAAAGGGGCTTTGCTATCACTATTAAATTAGCCTTGAAGACTGCTAATTAGACCACAGGCCTTAAAAGCTGCCTTCTTAGGCAGCTTAATCAGTTGTTATTCTTTTAAAGTAAGAACTTTGTTTACATTGAAAACTTCCAGTAGATTGATAAAAATAATAAAAACAAACATATAGACACTACACTCTTAAAAACAAACAAACAAAAGAAAATAAATCAGTGATTCAACTGGCAGATTTTCCTTTACAGCTTGCCTTTGATTTATAAATTTCTATTTCCTGCCCCAGGGAGGGTAGTGAAAGCGAGGTTATGGTGCTTTAGCTGTAAACTGTCTTCTGGGTTATGCTAATTTGCTGTAGGTACTCCAGGCTGCTTATTCAGCACAAACTATTAGTTTTTGGCTACAGAAGGCTGCTCTCTGGATATCTGTGGTTGTTGTCACTTTAGTTCTCTTGATTCAAAAACTTCCATATTCTTGATCAGTGTTGACAAATGGCGCACTCAGAAACACAGTGAATTTATATTCGACTTCATAAAAAACATTAATATTGATGAAATCAGTCTTTAACACTTTGTTGGACTAGCCTGAAAACCTTTCCTCTTCTCCTCACTAACCCCCCACACCACCCCTAGGACTGGAAGAGCAGGTGAGGGGGCATTCCATCTGATGGAAACACCCCCGGTTTGGGCTGTGATTGGCTCCTGGCACTGTTCACCTGGGAGACTGCTCCTGATCCACACAGATGTCATGGTTCCCAGCACGGTGCTCAGGAACTCTATTCCCTCTAAGTTCTTTCAAAGTGGAGAAGCAACTGTTCATGTTGCTTGTTTGTCTATGGCTTTGCCCCAAGTGAAACTGACTTCAGTGGTGCTATGACATAATCCTAGAGGAATGATCATTTGTTTGCCAGATCTTTGGATGCTGAAAAAAGGGAGAGATGCAGGGAGGTCAGCGGAGAAAGAGGAAAGATAAAGAAGAGAATAAGAACTTATTGAGCACTTCCTGTATGCCATTTACTGTGTTAAATCAGCTTGTTTAGCCTTAAGACATAGAGATCCCCATTTTATTGGTGAGGGCACCAAGGCAAATAATGGTTACTTGCCAAAACTGTAAGTGGTTACTTGCCAAACAATGGTTGGCTTTCTGTTGCCCGATGGCCCCCCAACCCCAATTCCATGCCTTCTAGTGCACGTGTAGAAACAGAGGAGTGCAGCTGGGATACAGGGGAAGGAGAAGGAAGGGAGGAAGGGAAGAAAGAAAAACTAAAAAAAAAAAAAGTGAGAGAGCTCTGAAATGCTGCCAATAGTTATTCAAGGTCAATTCTATCTGCGGCGAGGGTAATCCTAAGCAAGACCACAAACCAGGCATACCTTGTTTCTGGGTCACATTGCCCCATCTTTGCCATTTCGGGAGGGTCCTAGTTTTAAGAAGCTATTTGGTAAATTTTCAACTTAATTCTCATTCCTCAGAGACATTGCTATGTAATAGGAAAATTTTGCCAAAAATATAATGACAATTTTCTGCAAAATACATTTGAGAAGGGAACACTTATTTGCTTCGTAGGATGATCCAGCTTCCAGGCTGGCCTTGTAAGCAGAAAGTCTGTGTTGTTTTGTGTTTGTTTTTAATTGCAGAGACAACTCTCTCCCGTCTTGTTTTCAGTTTCTACAATATTGCATTTTTAGATTCCTGACCCTCCTTCACATTTCACCCTGGGTTTTGGAATGGGGAGGAATTCCTTCCCTGGAGGAAGCCCTTCCCTCTCTGTAGCAATCTGGCTTGAAGGCCTGTAAAGAGGTTTTGTTTTAATTCCAATAGTAAAAATGTGGAAACGTCATTCCAAATTTATTACTAAAAATAGTAATAAATCAGCTATTTGTTAATGTGGTTTACCACAGTCTAACCTGACAAATGAACATATAGCTTTGCTGAAAAAGTAGAAAGACAGTGACAAAAATAAAATTCGACTGGGGAGGAAATGACATCGATACATTTAGAATACTTTTTAAATGTTAAAACCATTTGGGGTTGCTATAGACTGAATATTTGTGTTTACCAAAATTAAGATGTTGACATTGTAACCTCCAGGGTGATGGTATTAGGAGGTGGGGCAATTTGTGATAGCAGCCTAAACAGACTAAGACAAGGGTATTTTGGGATTCATCCCATGTCATATGGAAAATAGAATTTAAGCAAAGCAAATGAGTACCCCACTCCTCAGCACACACGTGAAGTTAGGTCAGAGCGTTGCAACAGAAAAAGCCGCTCTACTTTTACAGGTTTACGATACAGCTGTGAATTTTGAAAATGGGAACAAAAATTGCATCACGTTTTTATTTGATTTATCTTTCCCGTATTTGAGGATTTGTTGCAATTCCTGGGTCTGAGGCCATGAGGTCATCAAAAACACCACCTTGGATGTGACAACAGCCCCAAGTCCCCTGCTTTGATGGTTCATGAACCATTATCAGGGAGAAATAAGACACTTAAAAAAAATCTAAATAAAATGGAGTGACAAGAAGCTAAAGAAAAACAGAAGCTTCATGTGCCAGGGGAGCTTTTGTTTATGAAATCACAGTTGTTCACAGAGGTTTTACTGTTGACACTCACCCGTTCTCCTCTAGTGCTAACTGAAACCCCCAGCGTCCCCACTGAGGGGGGCGGGAGGGAAGAGGGGGGTAACCTGGGGGTTGGGCAAGGGCTAAAGCCAAACTTCATTCCCTCATATAGGCTTTGAAAAGAACTTGATGTCATTTTGGAATCTTACCTACCTACCAGGTAGGAACAAATCACCTTTGAGACAAGTCTCATCACGGAACACACCTTGGGTATCAGCTGCAAAGCCTGTCATCAGCCTCCATTGCCTCATCTTGCCCTTCAGACTTGCTGCCTCCCTGCCCGAATGCTCCCCACTCCCCTCATGTCTGAACTCATCTCCTCATATGCTGGATAAAGAGCTTCTGGTTGGGGCCGGGCCCTCCCGCCCTGGAAAGAAATAGCTGCCTTCGGAATATCAGAGCAATTCTAATCAGGCGTGACTCAGCTCTTCCGTGACCTCTGTTTTCATTTTTCCTCTATTAGGCTGCTGCACTGGTCCTACTTGTGGAAATATGTGTCCCTCCCTCCACCTTCTCCCTCCTTGCTCAATTTCAAGGGGAAAAATCCCTTTTAAGAGGAATATTTAGAATTCTTGAGCTGGGATGGTTTTTCTCTCCTTGCCATTACTATCTCCCCTGCCCCTCAGTTTGCTGTCTGGATGTCTCTCCCTTACACCA